GGTGTCTCTGTGTTGGTTTTTTGATACAAATGTGGGCAGATGGCCAATGTTAGCTGGACTGTTATTAATTATTATTGCGGGTGCTGACTACAGAAAAATTAACGTTCCTACCTTAGAACACAATTAAAAATTTTTGCCACAGTAAAAAATGATGCATTGATTTCCTGACATTTCATTACTAGTTATAATGAAAGAAGTTGGCTTAAGAAATTACAGTCTTCAATTTTCATCTGACTCAAGATTTCTTTTTCCCCTCTCTTTACTTCCATAAGCTTTCAAAAAAACCTTTTAATTCCATGCATATAATATATTATTTCTGGGTATACACCTATATTATGACTAACTAAAAGGCAATTTCCACAATGCTAGAGAAAGTTTCCGTAACTATTATTACACTAGTTTAGAAGATAATGCTTCTCTTGTCAATAGCATATCAAGAATTAACAAGTCCAGAATGATTAAATCTAAAGAAGTAGTTTTCATTTGCTTTGTCCTTTAAAATGGACAATTTCCTCTCACAACTTCTGTCAGCACAAACATACTCCTAAGAGGAACCATGGTATCTGTAGTCTCAAGAAACTCAGCAATCATTTTCCAACTGCCTAGGAGTCCAAGGTCAGAAGGGAACACAGGATCATCTGCTCAATCTCTCACACATCACAGGCCGTTACATTTTGCCCTATACTCCACCAAAGCTCTTCAGAAGACATACTGCTATGACAATGGCAGAAAGGCAAAAAACACTTAAGAGGAACCATGGTATCTGTAGTCTCAAGAAACTCAGCAATCATTTTCCAACTGCCTAGGAGTCCAAGGTCAGAAGGGAACACAGGATCATCTGCTCAATCTCTCACACATCACAGGCCGTTACATTTTGCCCTATACTCCACCAAAGCTCTTCAGAAGACATACTGCTATGACAATGGCAGAAAGGCAAAAAATACCGATGAAATATCAGTGTTTGAGGTCCCTGAATTAGCAAAGACCGGAGAAGGCATACCCAGATTTATCCTCATCACACAAACCTTGCTGGAAATCTCTGAAAACCAATCAGAACTGAGGGCAATTTTTCTCCCAGTCTCAAAGCTGAAGGTCAGTACACCTTATAAGAAAGACACCAGGCAGGCATCTCAGCACTCAGGGATTCTCTGTCCTACTTGGAGGGTTGTTTGGCTCCATTCAGGGTCCTCTTTCCCAGATCTCATGCTTTGGAGAAGTAAAAACAGAACTCCTAGAGCAGCAGAAACTTATTTTTGCCTCAGAAAGTGACCTAGATGAAGCCTGAGATGTAATTACAATCTTTGTCTTAATGCAGAGCTGGAACTTATATGATCACATTGAGAACCATGTTGGAAATCTTCCTTCCCAAAGGCTGTTAAAAAAGGGAACAAGGACAGTAAATCCAATTCCTACATTTTGAACCAAGAAGAACTACCACAACTATCTGGCCTGGCTCCTTCCCCATCAGCAGAAGGGCAACAGTCACATTCCGTGTCAGATTTCCCACCACTATATATAAAGACTTCATATTAACTACTCAGGAGCCTCCTTCAGTGTGATTTTGATAAACATGACCACAAACTGCCATGATGTATTCCAGTGAAACCACAAGTGACCAATTTATTTTTGATGGCACTTAAGGCATACATGAAATACGTAAGAGATCATTCTGGCCTAAGGTTTTTATTTGACTGTTCTAATTAACAAACAGATCCCAGGAGATGCTGACTGCCCCACAACTCAAAAGAGCGAGGGCAGAAGAGGCATCTATCAATAAGAGCTAGGGGAAAGGCTTTCCTTTTGCACAAATTTTCAACTTTTGAAATGCTGTCTCTTCTCAGCTTTTTTGTTGTCAAAAAGTTAAAATCACAAA